GCTGAGCTAAATCCCCAGCCCAACAGCATTAAATTCTCACAGAAGCACAAACCTCACTGTGAACTGCACATACGCAGAATCTAAGTTATGTGTTTCTACTGAGAATTTAAAGTGATAACAATAGAAATAAAGTGCACAATAACTGTAATGCACCTGAATCATTCCAAAACAAAACCACCACCACCCCCCATCCATGGAAAACTAGTCCTGGTGCCAAAACGGTAGGGGACCACTGGGCTAAGGGAGATGTGGGAGAGTCAGGCTTAGGAGACAAGATGGTACGGATGGTACCTTCAAGGAGAGAGAAACAAAAGGTGAGGAAAGATTCCAAGACTGCCCAAATAACATCATAATAAAGGTGGAAAAAGCTTCTCTTCATAAGAAACATTTGAGTACACCAAAAATGGAAAGAAAAGCAGCCATAAAAAGCAAAGATGAAGACATAGAGCAAGGAAAAGACTCAGCAGGCAGGTGTTTGGCACAGGGCAGAAATGAAGAGGTCAGAGGCACAGGAGATGGCTGGAGTTTGGAGGAACTTTTAGTTTAGACTGAAAATGTCTCACAAAATTCATGTGCTTTAAGGCATGGTTGCCAATCCATGGGGAACTGATTAGACCATGAGAGCTCTAGCTTCATCAAGTGGATTAATCCATGGATGAGATCATAATCTAGTGGCATTATTGATAGGTGACACCAACAGGAAGTGGTGCCTAGTTGAAGAGAGTAGATCAATGGACCATGACCTTGAGGACTACATCTGACCACTGGCCCCTTTCCTCTGGCTCTCTCACCCTCTCTGCTCTCTGGCTACCATAAGGTAAGCAGCCTTGCTTTACCACACCCTTCTACCATGATGTTCTGCCTCATCTCAGACCCTCAGAAATGGAACCAGTTGACCATGGACTGAAGCCTCTGAAACCATGAACCTAAAAAAATCTTTCCTCCTCTAAACTGTTTTCCCAGGTATTTGGTCATGGCAATGAAAACTTTATTAACACAAAAAGAGAGATATCCATCATCTTCCAAATTTGCCAAGAAGGAAAAAATTGAGATGGATTTAAAAACATTCATGAATGGTGAAGTAAAAGCTGAATAATATTCCAAACTGAATGATGAAGAAGGGAGGCAAGATTCTATCTGTTGAGGATGAAAGGAAGGAGCTCTGAGAAGTTTTCTTGATGGTCTGATACCTAGTCTCAGGCTATACAAAGACACATGCATGCGCGCACACACACACACACACACACACACACACACACACATATAATAACTGCCACTAAGTTCCCCACAGTCTCCAAAGGATGATCAGGAAGTTATCTAAGCTCAGGATCTGGCAGGCTGATGTTGTATGAATGTTACTTTATTCCACCAAAATTTTACGACAAACATTCAGTCTTTATTATTTCATTCCTTCCTGAGTCATGCATTATGCTCATCATGATTATACCACAAAAAAACTTTGTAAAATAAAGTACATTTCATTTGTTCAAAATTACTATGAACACCATTCAAATATGAATTTATTATAATTGAGCTGTTGACTTCTTGATACCTTTTGCAAAGCCTCTTCTGTTTTTTCAGGGTTTGTTTTCAGGGCTTGAGAAGCATCATACATGGGAATTGGCATAAATCTCAATGTGTAGTTCCTAGAAGAAGGAGAAGATAATATAACTTTCTATGACCTTAACTCAGAACTTCTGAAAAAAATCCAAGATGGTAGTTGCAAGAGTAGCATAGAAGACACTAAGTCACCAGACCATTGTAGGCCCCAGAGCACAGCTCAGCCATGTCTGGTACCCACATGCACAGTGCCCAGGCAGCCTTGTTATTTGCCAGTGTCCCACAGAGCACAGTTTTGCTGTTTTGCTTTTTAGTTTTGAATTACAGCAAGGACAGACTCTTCAAATTAAGACCAAAAAGATGAACTAAGAGAAAGAGAACTTAGTAAACAAACAAACAAAAAATTGCAGCATCAACTTGAGCAGCATTTCAGTGAGCAGCAGATCTGAACATGTCTGGAAGCACAGCAATTACACATGACAGCCAGACCCAAATGGATCAAGGGGACAAAACAAAACAAAAATAAAACATGTGTCTGCAGGGCACAGTCATTAGCATCCACGGAAACAGGCTGTTCAGTCTGCGGCTGCCCATCTCGGCCTTTCGGGCTAAGATCAAGTTTGGTCTTTGGCTCCTTTAAATAAACAAATGCACAAAAAGGGCCAGTGTGGAGAATGAGCCGCAGGGAAAGGGTATTCTGCTGGTTCGCTATGCTGATCTCAGTGGAAGTTTTTAGTCTGTTTCAAGATTAGCCCAAGTCCACTAAGCTCTAGAAACTGGACAGAGTGGCTATGCCCAGTCTGTGCCCATGTATTATCTCCTTGCCATCACAGAGTGATTACACATAAGAGCACAGGGCTGAGGTGTTTGGTCGAAGAAAAAAAACCACACAGGGCTCTGAGTCTGGCCACCACCTCTGATTCTGACCCTTCTACAAACGGCCATGGGCCCTGATGCTCCCTTACAGAAAACCCCATTACTGGAGAGGTCTTTTCATTCCCAGCCTGAAATATACCTGTCGACTTCTATAGCCTGGGGCTCAGGAAGTGTTTGTTGTCTGAGCTTGGGTAGCATCTGAGGTATTGTCCTACTGCACTGAATCACACCCACTGCTACCTTCTTTGAGGTTAGATTTTCAGGGACATTTATATGACTTCTACTGCAAGAATGAATGAACAACTAGATGCTAAAATAAGGTACCACCAATGAAGAAATAATCAAGAAAAAAAACCACAATTATCTTAATAATAGTACCTTACATGGTATTATCTCACAGAAAAAAATACTCACCCAGAGCAACTTACAGGGTAACATAATGCAAAAGTATAAGGTACAGAGAAGGCTATCATTTCTAAAACTTTAATTTTTATCTTAGCCTTGTTTTAGCAAAATTGTTTGTCTTAAGAGGAGTCAGCCAACTGAGATTAGGAGACAATGTGTCTTTTGTATAGCCTTGATATTCCTTTTTCTTGTCTGATTTTTATCATGTTACAAACCAGCACAGTTTATTTAAACCAAATGTGATTCTGAAACACTGGCATCTTGTAGCACAGCACACACAAAGCTGTGGTCCGAGGGCCTTGCGTTCCATCAGGAAACACTGCACACTAGGTGAGCTAGCTGTCAGCTTCTGTTCAACACCAGCCTGGGCTGCAGCCCATGGCCACATCAGGGTGGTAAGTGTGACCTCTGCAACCTAATGCAGCTATGCAGAAGTAACTGGCAGCTTTGCAGTGTAGCAGGAGTAATCCCAGGTGGCTCTGCAGTCACAAAGCACCAAGAAGTGATGGCGATGGAGATTCCATGGTATAAATTGCCTTATCCACCTCTGTGACAGCCTCTGGTCAGTGCAACACGCCAAGGGACTCAGCAACTCTGCCTTCCTGGCTGAAGTAGAGCCATGAGACTTAGGATCAGAAGGCACTTAGCATCTACTCTTATCCTCTCATTTAATGAGAAAGAATTTATTGAAAAGGTAAAATCTTTCGGTGAAGGCCATAGGCTTGTTTGTGGCAGAGCTGGAGGCTGAATGCAAAGCTCCTAATTCTGGTCTGGGGCTGTGTCCACCACACCACCCTGGGCACAAGAGCTCCTCCTAAGAGACCTCATCTACAGGGGAAATCAGGGGAACTGCACAAAAATGAACACTTCCTGCCCTTTCCCAGGCAGAGACCTTCTGTTCCGTGGCTCCCTTATTTCCCAGCCACATTTTATAGCCTCTCCATTTCAATGCTAACAATCTTCTTGGATAATTTCTGCCTTTAGGATACACAGAAGTTGATGATACCAAGATGACATGGTTCTCATCAGAGCCAGTCAAGCTGGAGCCAGAGAGTAGAGAAGGCAGAGGGCTCACGCCTGGCTGTATGAAACAGCTATGTTCTAAGGATTTTCTAAGGCTGCCAGAGAGCCATTCTCACTTTGCATGCACCTATTCTTTGCAGGTATGCACAGATTTTGTGTAAGAAACTTTATCTTTGGCATTCTCTAAGATGCCAACACCTCAGACAAGATGCTTTGGACAAATCACGCACCCAGAGAGAAGGCACCAACTCAAATGAGCTAATTCCAACTCCTACCTCATGTCCCCAAAACCAACGGACTTTGCATCCATTGTCCAAGGAGCTTCAGGCAATTCTCCCTTTTTGCCTTGAAAATGTCCCCTTGCCTCAACCTCTTTAGCATGGCATATGTATGCTCTTCTATTTCTAGGTAACTATATTCTTTGGAGAATTTCTATTATTTAACAAGTATGGTGTTTAAATACCAAGAAAAAAACAGATTTCTAGTATTATTTTTTACACAAGTCTAGTAATATTATTTTCATATTAGTTAACTAAACAAGTACATTTAACAACAAATAATAATCATAAGTTTTAGCAACGGAAGTAACAAAAAAATTCTTTTACAGCAATGAGAAAAGTTAGCCTAAGGCTTATCATTGATCAATTTCACCTTTATTTGCTGGACCTTGTTATTTAGCGCTGGATTCAGAATTGTTACCATGGCCAAAAAAGGGAGGAAATAAAGCAATCATCATGTGTCCCCTTGCCTGATTTCATTTAGTCCCAAGGCTATGCAATGTCTTTGAAGGATCAGGCATCTCTGCCCACATTTTATGCATGAGAGGACCCAGGCCAGAAGCAAAGCTGATGTCTTCCAAGGCCCCTGCCTGCTTAGCAATAGCATAAACTTGCACCCCATCAGATCCCCAGATTACCGTTGGCTTCCATTATCCCACAGGTAATACTGACACCACTGGTTCTGTATCCAGAAAGCAATCCTAATTAAAACTTACTTTTCCATGGCAACAGCTATATCTTGAAAGCCTTGTGCAGTAATATTGTTCTTGTCCCATATCACAGTCCTGTTTGAAAACCAAGCCAGATAGATGATCAGACACTCCCAAGTGAAGGAAAGAATTCTCCCATTGGATAAAAATCTCTTAAAAGCAACATTGTGGCATTAATAAAGATAGGCATTTCCCTCAATTTATATTTGCTTGTGTGCCTGATGGTATGGTGTGAACACAAGGCCTCACATAAGCTAAGCACATGCGCTACCACTAAGCTATGCCCCAACCTCAACATGTGGACACTTTTACCCCTCGACTAGTGTGGACAAACAGCACCTAAAAGCAACAGCATTTACATTAACTTACCATTATATTACTGAGCATTCAGTACACCAGAAAACTCTAGAACCTGATTGCTCTAATATCCCCTACTAGTACTCTAAATTCTGTGACTAAAGCTGAAGCTTTTTAGGGAACATGCTGAACAGCTCCATTCCCCAGACACACACAGGTTCAGACACTGAGACTTTCTCCATTCTAAAAACACTGGAGAAAATCTTGCCATATTTTCTCATGTTTTCATAATTTCCTTGGCCTGGTGTGATCAGCATTCCTGGAATTTCTCTCTCTGCTGCCAAGACCTCAGTTACTACAAACAGGACACTGTTTAAATTATTAAACAAAAAACTTATTTTGGAAGAAACTTTTGGATGTTACCTTCAGAATGTGCATGCTTCAGAGGTATTTTAGAATTCATCAGTTCACCCTGACACCAAAAATATTTTTCACTTATCTGTATGGTGCCAGCCTCAGGAGTTTACTGCTCTCCCATTCTAACCTCCACGACCCTCTTCACATACACAGTGACTTTCAAAGACCTTGGTGTGCTTTCTGGCTTTTGGCTCCAGTTAGACAGAAGGATCAGATTTTGCCATAGGCCAGAGAGGAAGAGAAACACGGGGGAAGAGCTGAGGAGCAGTGTGCATTGACTCTTCCTTCACTAGAATCCTCTCTGAATGAGGATGGCAGCAGGGTGCCTGCATTGCTAGTCCTTTACAATCCATGCTTAGGAAACACTACGGGTGAAACCCGTGAACAGGAGGGTATACTTGCCTTTGAAACTACAGGCCTCTACACCCCCTGTGCTTTAAGTCTTTATGTTGCAGGGGTTAGAAGTAAGAGAAGACTTTGGACTCAAAACTAAGTATGATCATGTATGAAATAAGGACATTTTGGTCAACAGTGAACCACAGATTTTATTGCCTACTGATGTTTAGTTTGTGCAAGTATCTACACTATGCGCTTGCTGTCTGCAGAACTATGAAATCACTGCACGATGCTGTCTAGAACTTATCTTGCTGTTTAACGATGCAGGACCACCTGGGAAAAATCCTCCATGTCAGCCCTCCATACTTCCTGGCTGTGCACTACAGAGCCTACAAACCCTTTTATTGCTTCTTAGTCCCGCTGTTTGCACATCCAGCAACCGCCAGCACCAATGTGGAAAGGAAATGACGACATTTCCCAGGTTTCCCTCATGATAGAAGTGCTCAAGACAACAGTTTGAAGGAATCACTGTGTCTAAATTTGGAGACACTCGCCCCTGTATTCCCACCAAGACTTAAAACTGTGGTTCCTCTTCCCAGCTGGCCCCCCAGGCACAGCTTACCTGAGCTTGGTGTTGATCTGCAGGGCTTTGGCCAGCATCTTTGCTCCCATGTCCCCCATCCCATTCCCGCTAATGTCCACCTTGGTCAGGGAGGTGTTGCTTCCCAGGGCATTGATGATGATAGTGACCTCAGTCTTGAGTTTCGAGTCCGCCAGGGACAAGGACTGCAAAGGCTGTGGAACAAACACCAGGCAAGGCTCAACAGCCCCATCCAAGTAGCAGCTCCTCTAGACTCCTTTCCTGGAGAATCCAGGCCATGGGTCCCTGGCCCTCCGTCTAATTTTGAAACTACCGCCTAAAAATCACTCATGGCTGAAACCTGAAAGTTTTGGCATAAAATAGACCTGTGGAATGAAATTTGGAGAAGTTGGGTTTTGATGCAGAATACCTGGAGCTTCTTCTCTTCCAAGCAAAAGTGGAGAACAGGATGAGATAAATAAAGACATGACACAGACACCCCTCAGCTTCGGTATGATTACACTGCTCCTCCTTACCTATTTTACTTAAATATAAGGTGAAATGATACCTCAAAATACTACTAGAGATCAAATGCAAAATAAAAACCAGCCAAGATTTTATCCAGATCACTATCTGAACAATGACTGTGTCTAGCCACTGTTCAGGCTTCTGACATGTACTGGTTCACTTACTCCTCCCAATCACCCATTTTTCAAACATGAAACAGAAAGGTTAAGCAACTCAACCAGTTACACAGTTAGAAAGTTAGAAAGTAGATGAAAAGGCCTGGCTCCACATTTCATGCTCCAAAGAACTATGTTGTGTTGCCCATTTAGCTAATCCTGCAACTTCTTGAGCGTCACCTATTAGCTGTATCTTCTAAGCTTCATTCGGAAGATACATGTGAAATTAAAGGGAAAGAAAGTCAACTTTGTGAGACCTTATTTTACCATACACTGTATCGTGAATCCCAACCAGCATACTCTCATCCATTTAAGGCACAAGCTGAGTCACTCAGGCTGTGACAGCCTTTATTTGACCTGCAGCATATCAGGACCCTGCCCACCCCGCCCCAGCAAAAAGAGTAATCCCAGTTCACTTGGTGTACTCTGCTGCCTTGCTAGTCCCGTGGGGACCTAGGCTTGAGTGCTTGTTGTGAGCTGAAACTCCGCTAATGAAGTGGCTGAGAACTCCAAGGCTTGAGCCAGTGTGGCTCTAAAATAAGAGCTGAGACCTGTGTGGGGACTCGGATGGCTTCTGGAGTTGTATGAAGTGGTCTATATCAGCGTTATTCATAAGCAGCTCAGAAATCTCAGGGAGGTGAATGCCAGAAATAGACTGGGATTACCTTTGACCACGTTCCCTGGTGCCTGTCAGCTCTGTGTGGACCCCACACAGCCTACGGCATATCTGTTTCTGCTCAGCCATTCCACCCTAACTTCCTTGGTAGCACCTGAGAGGGGGTCTCCACCCCAGGGCCAGAACACGGGGAGCTGTCGGTGACTTCCAGACTCAGCGATCAACAAAGTGCCGCTATGTGTTTGACTCTATTTGTCATCATTATCATCCCAATTACATCATGTTTTCCAAACTTAATTCATCTCCTGTGAAATCAGAAAGTATCAGTATACCAACTAGAATCAAATTTATGAAAGCTAAACGGACTGTTAAATATGAAGGCAATTAAAACCCTAGCCCAAAATCGTGCATACCCCCAGACACAGGTAGATTTAGTGAGGCAGCTTCCATTCAGGTAAATGGGAAAAAACAACTGAAAGTGCTTCAGACTCAGGCAAGGTAATGCTTTACACAAAAACAAATGCAGCACTGCTTTAATCAAAAGCTATGATCACATCTCTCATCATTTCAATAATCCCTATTCAACTACCACAAAAAACGATACATTATGGCTTTTTTCTAATACTGGAAAACTGCCAACTTTCCATGCTAGCGAGCAATGATTTTTAGCAGTATATTCAAATTCTAATACACCCCAGTTAACACTTAAAAATAATAGGAGAGTCATTAATGTGAACAGAAAAGCCTGAATTGCATGCATATTTATAAGGTCATCCCTTCCTGATTTACTGCACAGACATGTACTATAACTATTTGAATTCTTTCTGTTTCTTTTCAAAGCTGAACATGCTTATCTGAGACTATCTCCTGGGTCCAGTACTCCCAGAAGAAACACATTCTGTTCTGGTTACAAGGCGGTTTGTGTGTAATCCTTCAGATCAAGACTCTCTGCCGCCTTGGCCAATACCATCCTGGGACTCTGGCTACAGTAGCCAGAAGCTGCTCTCTACAGCCGAAGGTGACAATGTTACACCATGGACATCTAGGTTTCCAACTGAGTGGAACATGCATTTCTGGGAGAATACAATATCCCATGGGTAATCAGAGAGGTAGCTCTACAGAAACAAGGTCAAAACAATGAAAGCAAAGAGCACTCTTATACATGCCAAACTCTTACATAAGTAAGATTTTTTCATGAGCCCCATTATACCAGTTTATCTGTGGAACTCGTGAGCTCACAAGACTCAACTCCTAATGATCTGAAATACTTTTGCACATTACTGATTCACAAGTAGGGGAAAAAACAGTGATCTTTTTAAATAGTCACCTACTTTGCAATGACATGAAAATAAAAATCTATTCATTGTACAGCAGTAAAAATGCTACTGTACATATTAATCAAACAAATCACACAGGATTTACATAGCAAACACTATCATTTGCAAGCATGTTTGTAAATGAGTTTTACATATCATGATTATGTTTATGTAAGAGACTTCAAAAATTACAGACATAGTTTGATGATACTTATGTAATAAAATATGGAATACATACATTTTTTATAAAATATAAATTTTCCTAAAATACGTTCTGACACAAATATTTGGGAATAAATATTAAGTACAGTTCTGCAAATTAGCTTCCTTAATCTTTTAAAATTAGAAAAACTGAAACACTGAGAGTGGTTCAGTCAAATTAAATGTGTAAAACAAATAGCATAAATCTAAAAAGTATAAATTACATCCTAATTATACCTTCAATTTTAACAACCCAGTATAAGGGTAACAAAATATGGGTTTATTAGCAAATGAGGGCAAAGAGAAGCACTTACATTCATTAAACAATCATGAGTTTAATTTTTTTTTGACCCCAAGTTAAGAATTATAAGCACACAGTGAAGAGACAAGAGAACAGAAATTTCTCCTGCCAGCCAGCTATGAGCACCTTTCTATGTGTGGCAAGGGCAAAGGCAAAAACTTGCCATTTCCATCCCGCTGGGCCCCTTGACCTTCTCAAGAAAGCTAGCTAGTTTATATCTGTAATAAAATTCCCTGTTATTTTCTGGCATGAATTCAAAAGGGGAAATGATTCTTTTTTCAAAATATGCCGTACTTCATCTGCTTTATGTAAGAATTCACTCTGACAACCTAGAAGAGTAGCTATAACAAAACATGAATAATATGCTTTATGGTAGGAATTCAAATTGATTTGAACTTGAGGAAACCTATGGGGCTGAATTTGGTGACCAAATAGGACTTTGAGAGGAAAGGGACAAAACTTTAAAGAGCATCAGTAAAATACGAGATCCAACACATCAGCTTTAAATTTAAAAAGTTCATGGTAGAATGCTTTTTACTCTGTGAGTAATATGCCTTTTGTTCCCCTAATGTATTTTAAAGGGCAGCAAAATATATGAAGGTAAATTTCTTTCCCTGGAACGAACTCTTGCTCAGGAACAACTAAAGGGGATAAAAATATAAGGAGCACTACTGGAGCTCAGGAAGCAACCTAAGATGAGAGGAAATTTCCTTAGTCTGTTGTCACTCTGCACAGTTACTAGACGAACAGCAATGAAATGTCAGTATTACTGGACTAGACGAACAACAATAAAATGTTTGTCAGCATTACCTATGATCAACGAGTCAACTAGATTACCCATAGATTAGTATATTAGCTGGAGTTGGGAAATGGTATGGCTAATTAAAAGATAAGTACAGAGATCCATTTGTAATTTTTAAAATCCACTAGTTATAGTCTTCCTTTATTGGTATCGAATGAAGTAAATGGTACATTTTTAACTACATTTCTACTAAAGCATAAATATTCTGTTTTTTAAGAAAATTCCTAGAGAATTTACACTTAGACTATCAGAGAGCACTTTGGGCATTAATCCAGTGGGAACAGTCAATAGGAAGGCAATGAACAAAAGATGTCAGTCAAAAGCATTTAAAATAATACTCACCGAGTCTTCATCTTGAATCATCTGTACTAAGTTGTCCAAGACAGGTGTCAGATTTCTAAAGAGATTTTAAAGATGTGGACAGTGGAATCAAATCAAAAGCTTTCAGGAGGCTGGTTATTTTTATCATTGTTATATCAAAAAAAAAAAAAAAAAAACTCAAAGCTCTTACTTGGATTTCATATTATTAAAATTTTTGCCCAGCGCCAGGTGCTGGATTGATCTGTTTTTACTGAGCCACACTATTAAAGTAGATAGGTCAGATTCTAAACCTGAAAAGAATCAAAGTAGAGAATCAAAATACACGTGCATAAAAGGCTTCTCAGCTGGAACACAATTAAGCGAAGGTGACACACAGTTGGATGACTTCCTCTACCAAGCTTGGGGTTGGGGTGGAGGCCTGAGAGTCTAATCTTTTGTTTTCCAGGGAACTCTTTGCCATTTTTTCATGGCCTATTAATTCACAGGAATAAACTCATTCTCTACAAAGATTTATCTAAACCTCTTACATAATCAGTGGCTAAACAAAGTCAGCAGAATTTGGGAATGGATGATGGTTGAATACTTCATCTGTCCCCATCTCTGTGTGAGAGGGGATTCCAACATACTGACAGGTAACAGTAGTTAAATTTGCCTGTGTACATTTAATAGGTTCCCATCATGGTCAGAGAGGAGCCAGTAAGCTTCTGTATATGTAAATAAGGTCACAATTTTAATACAACCAATAATGTGAAAAGTTGGGCTCAGATCTTTATCAAAGTATTGATGTTACCAATTTTTAAATGAGCTGTTTTGTAGCATAGAACTTGCATATTTGGCCATGGAAATCAACTAAGTAGGATGCTGGCAAAAATTTATTCCACAAATAAACTCTATTGTTAAATTTTAAATTTCTATTCATCAAGAAATTAAATAATACTGTTCTTGAAGATGTTGGCTAGATTAGGGTAGAAGATTACTTTCCCTTCCTAACTTGCTTCAAATAGTGTTCTAGTTTCTTTTCTGGTATCTGACTCACCATTGTCGGAGATGTCTAAGCTGGTGATGTTGTGGATTTCAGCAATGCAACCTTCTAAGACTTGAGCTCCTCCTGACCTCAGCTAGAGAGAAGAACCAAACAGAAAGTCAAATCTTCATCCTCCTGGAAGTGTAACTAGTCTTAAGACAAAGAAAATGTAAAAGCTTATGAACTCCTGCACAAAACAGCAATTACCAATGGTAAAAGCCTACTATCAGTGGAAATGTTGCTGTTTGCCATACATCCTCTAACTCTAAACCCTAAAATCTTTAGAAAAGGAAACAGAAGAAATATGGGGACTATGCAAATCTGCTATTAGACAGTATACACCAACCTGAAAGGACTGTCTTCATTTCTAACTTCTGGAAATCTAACAGGTCTGTATCGGACATAAGCAAGTCACTGTTTCATTTCATTATATCTGGTCTTAAAGTATAAATTCTCCATTAGCAGAAAACAACCCAAGGAGACAAGACCCAAACTTCTACGAAGCCAAAGCCTATGTTATGGAGATCCCAGTATTTTTTTTTTCCTATTCTGCAAATATTTGTCCAGTTCCTCCTCTGGGTAAGACATTGAGCAGGATGTGAAGTTCCCCAAGTTGTGATCCTTTTGCTCATTAAACTAATGAGAGAAAAAAAAATTATAACTTAGATAAATTTCAAAATCAAATTCATAATGTAAGGTGCTTTATTTATTTGCCGAAGTCTTAATATACCAGAGAATTCTCATTTCACTATTTTACATTTTGAGTTCAAACCCTTTTGTACTTGAAGCAGAATTTTACACAGTTCTTTAGGGTGGTTCTTTTTTTTTTTTGGTTTTTCTCCGGTACCGGGAACCAAACTCACGACCTTGCGCTTGCCAGGCAGGCGCTTTTGCCGCTGAGCTAAATCCCCAGCCCCTTTAGGGTGGTTCTTTATTCAGGAATACTTTGGTGTGTTTCATTTTAGCCGTTCCTACTTTGTAAGGTGACAGCAGATTTCTCTGAGGTGTCTAAGTGAGCTCACACAGAGAGGGAACTCTCAAAGAAACTGATCCCCCTGCCTCAGGGAAACCAAGGCCCATGCCACAACAGCAGCACTTCTAAATGACAGTGTGGACTGTCTTCAGCAGCAAGCACCCAGCTCCTCACACTAGCTCGTTGTCCTTTGTAATCCATGGGGGGTCGGACCAAGGACCGCCTGCAAATACCAAACTTTGAGGATGCTCAAATCCCTTATTTCACAAGATGTAGTACTGTATTTACATATAACCTAGTGACACTGTCCTGTAAACTTTAAATCACCTCTGCAGTACTTATAATACTCAGTGTAAGTGCTACATAAATAGTGATACTGTGTTTAGGGAGTGACAGGGGTGAGAGGAGTACTGTATCTGTGTGTTTACTACAGATACAATTTTTTTGGCTCAAACATTCTCAATCCATAATTGGTTGAATCCTGGGGTGTGGATCCAAAATATACAGAGGACTTGCTATATTTTTTCAGAGCTCCAGATTTACCCAGATGGGGGCTGGGGATTTAGCTCGGCAGCATAGTGCTTGCCTGGCAAGCACAAGGTCGTGAGTTCGATGCCCGGTACCAGAAAAAAGAAAAAAAAAAAAGATTTACCCAGATGCCCTCAGGAAGCTTCTCTCACCTTGCCACCCCCAGAGCCTCCCCAGCGCCCTGCTTGCTACTCCCAAGTGTGATTGCAGACAAGTGCCAGTCTGCTATCAGTTTGTCGATAAGTGCAGAAATTAAGTATAAGGATCATAGAAACCGTGGCAGAGATTTTAGATCTCTTGTGTCTAATAATTAAAAATGAGGGCTTGTATATTTTATGTCTTTATATGTTTCTAGTAATTCATTTGTAACACTTATATAAGTACTGGATTATGGTTATTAGAAATTTTTAAAAATAAAACCAAAACAAAAGCACAGGTTTTTCACCATAAGTAGTTCTGAGAAGCACTGTTCCCAGTCAGTTTGTTAACACCTGAAGAAGTAAATATGTATGCAGACTATGTATGTAGACTACGTCACAGCTAAAGAAAGATCTCATTTAAGTGAGTGCTTCAAAGAAACATAATTTGATTTTTAGAGAATGAAAAAAAAGATGATTTTAAGGAGATAAAAAGAGCTCATAAATATTTACAATTCCATATTTGCTGTCAGTGATTTCTCTGTTGAGAAATACAATTTCTAGGAGAAAATCTCCATGTCCTACCATTGTATAGTAAAACTATTCCATTCATAAAAATGAAAAATATGAGTAGGATTTACATGTTCACTTCTATTGATTTATAAATACTCTTTACTGATAAGATGTGTATCATTTGCACATAAAGCTAATACATATCCCAGTATTTTAAGATAATCAAATATACTAATATATCCTAGCTTATTGATTCATAAAGTACTTACACAATGGCCAAGCTAAGGAAAGCCCAAAGAGAAAACAGAAAAAACATCATTATCAGCAGTAGAAGAAGAATAAAGAAGCAGGAGTCTCTATCAATACGCAGTATAAAATAGGAAACAGTTCAAAGAAACACTTCTAACTGAAATATGCTCCTAAACAAAATCAAAACCTTAAAAAACTGATTTTCAGTTACCAAGAGTATTTAATTAGATTTACAGGTTATTAGGTGCCTAAAATTCCCCAAAAGCTAGAACCCTCCTAAAACAGTAAAAGCTTTTCTCCATTACTGTAAATGAAAATCCTTTTAAATGAATTTGCATAATTAGAGCCATGTCTGCATGTATGCATGTGAGACCGGTTTTTTAAATTACCCTCATTTGAATCCCACATACTAGCTTTATTTAAAAGCAAGGAAGATCAAAGACAAGTAAGTGTGACTGAATCATTGAACACTTTTCAAAATGTTAAAAATCAAGTTTCTTTTGAGAGTAGTTTCCTCCCACTCATTTTAGATGTTACTCACCATTGTAAGTGAAAAGGTACATCTAACACTCAAATATCTATAGTGGGGGAAAAAAGGAAGCCAAAAAAATTCTCTTAAAATCTACTGCCTTTTATAATTTACCTTTCTTTCTCAAGATCATTTATCATTTAAAAACATGTGACAAAACATTTTAAGTGGGCTGGGGATATAGTTCAGCAGCACAGAGCCTGCCTGGCAAGTGCAAAGTCCTGAGTTCGATTCCCGGCACCAAAAAAAAGAAAACATTTTAAGTGTAAAATAATATTAGAATTATCTATTTTCTCCTATATGGGTTCCAATTTTAATAAATTAATTTTTAACCCTAGATATTTTTGCACATAAAGCTAAATAGTATAAGTTCTCCAAGGACACACACAGAGAAAAGATTATAAAACATTTAATTCAATGTCCAATTGCTGGGAGGGTTTGACACCAAATGACAGTTTTATACCTAAAAAAGATAAATATAAATACAGCTATTCTAAGGTGCAAAGAGTTGCATATATTACAGTTGCTTCGTATGTGTATCCTACCATGTGAAACGTGCAGGTTTGTGTTCCATACCTGGCCTGAGAGGGAAGTAACAGGTGAGAGGTACACAACGATGCTACTCTAGGCTCCCTAAATGACTATCAGATTGAATGGAACTACCTTGAAAGTTTCTACTCACTTGCTACAATGTCCTACTTATTGCAAATTTTAATATCTGGTGCTTTCTTTTCTATTCATCATCAACTGCCATGAGTCACATGATAATCTGGAGGACATTCTCCCCTTAAAGGAACTGTCACACCTAGACTTGCAACTAATCCTTAGCAATAATTAGCTTTTCCATCTTGAGAAATTAGACACTTAGAAGGTGACCAAAGGGGCTGGGGATTTAGCTCAGCGGCAAAGCACCTGCCTGGCAAGCGCAAGGTCATGAGTTCGGTTCCCGGTACCGGAGAAAAACCAAAAGAAAAAAAAAAAAAGAAGGCGACCAAGCTTAAAGGATTCAGTTCCAATATTTATCAATTCTTCTCTTGAGGTGTGACTATGAAGTAATATGATTTTCTAAAACCAGATCAGAATGCACAGATTCACTTCTTTTCTTTGGATAGATAGATGCACAGAATTCCAGAATCCCTATTACCACACAGGACATTTTCACACCTCTTCTTTAGGAACTAACCTTAGGTAAGAAGTGGACACACATTTCTGTGCATAGCTGTACTAAAGCTGAGTCCTGAGTCTTTAAGAGCAAATTAAGAGCAGCCCCAGGAAATCTGGACATACAGGACACACTATCTTGTTTCCAAAATCAGATATGACTCTAAAATAATAAGCCTAATTCTTTTTGAAAGATGCAAGAAGGCTTTGAAGGCAATTCCAGAAAATGTTTTGGTAAATAAAGAATATTACTTAGCAAAGAATAAAGAATATATTATTATATTAATAATAAAAAATGTTATTTATCAAAATAAAATTTGGGTATTTTCTAAATAAAATTTTAGGAAGACCATTTTGGACTTACACTATAAGTTCTGACATTCAAATGAAAGCTCCCCCATAGCAAGACTTTTCCTCCCCAAATAATGGCTCACATACGAGCGGCCCAGCCCGATGGCATTGTGCCAAAAGCTCTCCCTGCAAACTATTATTATCCACACTCAACAGGTGAAAAACAAAGGCTGAAAGAAGGTAATCATCTTTCAAGCCAAGTGCCTGCCCCAGGTGTCAAAGGAGTCTTTTGATTTCAACTGCCTGCCGCTGGCTGTACACTCACTCCATGGCTCCCACGACTACAAGGAGTCATTTTCTCAGACAAAAGAGAGGTCTTCTTCGTAACACAAAGAGATCAAGGGGATGGAAATGAAGCGATAACATCAATAACGTGGACCACATTAAGAGACATAGAAGGTTTATCCCTATAAGAAGGGAAGTTATACAAGGTTAGACAAGGTAATACAATGTTAATTTTACTACTAATCATATTAGTCCTCACTGATCCAAAAGCATATAGACTACATTTCTGGATTTAGTTCTCCAAATAATAACCATATTTGTCTAATGGGAAAGCAACTTCGTAAGTCATAAATTCCTGCATATACTTTCATCGCATCGTGTGAATCTGTTAATCAAATTACTGAACGTGAAATAGCTATTTCTGAACAACAGTGAAATATTCTAAGATCTACAAGAAAATTCAGAATGAACAATAATGGAACATGCCACACAGTTCCTTTCAAACAAATTTGCTTAAGCAAGGTCACTGTAAGCTCGATTCCTCCTTGGTTGCTCTCTCGCCTCCTCCACCAGCATCGCAGATGATGTCCTTTACTTTCTCTGCCTCCTATACAAGCCGGATTACAGATTCACCCCCGCACTTCTCCTCTATCAAGAGAAGAGGTGAATCTGGATCTAAAATACTACACAGAAGATGTTTTATAGTAAACTACTGATGCATGGACATAAAACACTTTAAATTGTTTCCCCTGGGTCCTGTTTCCATGGAAAGTGGAAGCTGTCATCTCCACACCTGCAGGAGGTACTGAGCAGTCAGGGTCCACATCAGAAACTGCAAGACCCCAAGGCGCACAAAGCACTTTGCTCCAGACACCTGATATCTGAGAGCATCGGCACCTCCCTGGAGCCCCCTAACCCATCCCAGGGAGGGGAAGTGACCTCCTATGATGACCATGGTGACAGGGACAAATATTCCCCACCATCTTCTGGATTTTTAAAATTAGATTTATCTGCTCATAGAAGAATCACATAAATTCTTCAGAGATTTTGACTAGTATGCTAAGAAGGGGTTCTGCCTACTTGGCTAAATAGAGGAAGAACAGGAAAATCTATACCTGAATGATATTAATCTTTTAGGTAGTGAAAGCCCCTTTCTAAGAGCATTACATAAACTCTAAAGAACCAAATACAAAAGGGAAATCCTCAACATGGCAAGCATTCCAACATGGGTTATGTGGTACCTCCAAAGGCTTTGCAGGGAGGCCTACTGTATCATAAAGAGGAACAAACCAACATCAAGTGAAATTTGGATAACTAGCCCTAAGAAGCAAAATGTAACAAAACACTGTAACACAATTTAGAAAAATAATATTACATTTTATCAGCTCTCGTGAACAACGGTACAATGTGAGTGTACAGTGTGGTCCCCAGTGTTGTAATTTGAGCTATAAAGTGGTGACAAACATGATACAAAATACTTTCAAGGCTTCTCTTTCTCATAGGTATCAGTTTTTTCTATTATCCATAAAGAAAAGGCCAAAATTAAATTGGGATTATCATAATAATAGTGGTTAATCTCACCAGCAGAGATTAATCATTTGATCTGAATTTGTTTTTTATAAAAGTAATAAAAGTCTACCAGTAGTTACACTGAATCATAGGAGACTGCCTATAGCCTAGCATTCTGATCTACAAAAATATCAATTTTTGTATGGCTCACCTATTACTGTGTTTGAACAATTCCCAATAAATCACAAAGAAGTCTAAGGAACAAGTTATATAGCAATATAACAGCGTATTCTTTGAGCACAAGGTTCTATATCACCTCATTTAAGAAGAAAATGTCTAACCACACTTAATATTCCAATAATCACCACCATCAATATTGTTATTAATAACAGAGAATCAGGATAGAGTTTTCACGATGGCTCTGCCATTAGTGAGTTGGAGCATTTCAGCTCTAAATAAACTTCTTTGACTATAAATATAGTAACCAGATGACCACTTACTCTCATTCCAGCTTTAAATAAAAGATGCTAGTTTAGCAGTACTCAAGGTATTTAATCAGGAGAGTAAAAACCACATCATACATCATTGCTAATCAGCAGTCAGATCTAACAGTGCTGTTGCATGTATACTAATCTCCCTCCTTTGATAATCCTATCCCCTTCATCTCACTCCTACTCTAATAAAGGTTTAATTAATGACACACCCCTTAGTAAAGTGCTCGTAAGCAGATAATTCCTACTGTATTACCACAGTTGGTTTCTACTTTATAGTCTGTCTGGGTAAGTGAAAGACTTACTGACTTTCACACGATAGGTCCACAGTGAAGGTTAACTTTCGAGGGCCTTTTTTGGGCAGTCTTTTGCTTTTCTTTTTTCCAAACCGGAAAAGTAAGTCACAATACTGATACTGAAGCCCTAAGTTAATGAAAAATCCTACACTGACAATTTATGTGGTGCAATATCAGACTTGCCAGATTCTAGAATTTTCAGAGAGATATTGCGTTAATCTTATTCAATATCTACTATTGGCTTGGTGCCTAGCATTTTGTTAGGAGCCAAAGGAAACATAATACAAACTCTGACACAAATACTGTCTTCCAGAAAACCACAGCCTAGCTGGGAAAGCACACTGGACCCAACTTAGTAACTGTGCAAGACATAAGTTAGTAAGTGTGCAAATGAGTGCCACTATCACTGAGTCTTGACAGTTAAATGAAAACAAGACTGTAAAAGGCTGAAGAGTAGGAAGAAATTTGGTAGACAGTGAGAAAGGAAAAAACAGTAACAGCAATCAACGGTGATGTGTACCAGATACTGTAAAAGAGGCATTCTCCAAAGAAGACCTGTCTTGAACCTTAGAAGAACCCGCTGGGGAGCCACTACCATCTCCATTTTGCAGGCACAGAAATTAAGATGTAGCAATACCCACCAATCCATCTAGGAATGCACAGCCCAGGATCTGAGGCATACTGCAGGATACTGGCCTTGAGCTAGAACTCAGAGAGGAGGGCCTTGGGGTAAAAGAGCGATATGGTAGGAATGTTCTGGGAAGAGAAAAATGTAGGCCTGAAGGGCAAGAGTAGGAACAAGGAGACGCCTCCATCTACTCCAGAGATGGGGGCTGACAGGTTGATCAGAGCCAGGCTTTGAATAGGCCAGGTGGTTGGCACCTGAGTAAGTTCTCACAAATCTCCTCACAAACTAAACATTTCAAGATGGTAGAAGTTCAGATACTCTTTAAAATATAAAGGCTTTTGTGCTCAGTTCTCTTCTACAGGCTCTTTCAGTCAAAGTACTTGGAACTGCTATAATTCTGAGAGGCATATTAATTTTCCTTCTCCAAACCAAGCTATTGAAAGTAAAATTAATGACAAGACAGCCATTTCCTCTCACACGCTACAAATCCAAGTCAAGCTATATGCATTTGTCCCCTGCATCAAACACTGCGTGGTACATTTTCATGATGGCAAAGCTGGTTTATGGCTCTGCATCTCAAGCCTTCACCGAACTACTTAGCAACAGGCATTAAGAATGGGGAAAACACATGTCATTAAAAACACACTGGATGCTTTCTGAATGCTTTTCTGGCGCTGCTTGTAAATGAAACTTGCAAAATACAGAATATCTGAATCTTGTATAATGTGTTTTTCTGCTTCATTTGTACCCTGTGGAATCATAGAATCACACCTTTTCCAGGAAAAAGGTAAAGCACTTTGAGGCTATTATCCATTCCAGCGCATACTGTAAAGGTGGTTTTTACCTCACAGTTGCTGAGATCCAGTGAAACTCCCTTCAAGTTATGATTACAAGCCAGGCCCAACAACAGTGCTCTGAGGGAAGGAAACACAAATATTAATTACATTTCCATACAATGCACACCCAGGAACATTTACACATACACACAAATGTAATCACACTGAATAAAGCCTGGGAAAAAAGTGCCTTTTCTTAATCACAGGTCAGGCACCACACTCTCTCTCTCACATTTTCAAATGCCATCTGCATTTCTGCCTCTTGACAATAGTAAAACAATGACACGGCTGCGTTCTTCCCCTGACAGGCCGGAGAGCCCATCATAAATGCAGAACCGAGCAGGACTGCTATTGCTATGCAAATAAACCAACAGCTCACCTAATTGCATATTGAAATTAAATTGTGGTCATCACAGATAAATTCCCACCTGCATCTTCTTGAGAACAGTTTCAATAATGTTTAGAATATTATTAGGCAATTGTTATTAGAGAAGCAAAGTAGAGCTAGTCTTCCTCAAGGAATTTGGTGGGGAAGGAGTCGGCTCCCCAGTATCCCAGGATGTGGAATTATACCGAGACGAGTTAAGAACTACAGGAGTAGGTAGGCAACAGTGGAGGAGCACACAGATAAGAGGGTCTACATCTTCACCAGAATCTTATCTGTTGGGTGACCAGAATCCTGCCCGCCCAGCCAACTGCCAGGCTAGGGCAAAGCATGTCTCTAAAAAGGGATTTTTTTTTTTTGTCTGCAAATTTTGGAGACTGGAATTGATTGACTAGATGTCATATCTGTATAAAGAAAATGAATTAAACCCACTCTTACAAGTAAGTCCTACACCACTGAGCAGGCCTGACACAAAAAATTCTCATGTGTGCATGCATCGATTAAATGATACGGAATGGTATAAGGCACTGATTATGACCCTGTGAGATCTAAGATGAGCAGAAGGAGGTTCCTGCTCTAAGCAATAGACATCAATGTGTGCAAATAACAGCAACACTAGGTAGGCGGCAATAAGCAGGAAAGTGGGGAACTCGGGCATCCGAATCTACGGTGACTACCTGTTCCCAGGAAAAGGGCCACTCTTCAAAAACAAGCCAGGGCGAGGATGCGGTGAGGAGGGAAGGAATTGACTAGGTCCCTGTTAATCTTTGTCCTTCCTGAAATCCTCAGGCCTTGCCTACTGAGAGTCAGCTCAGGGAATGGATGGATCCCCAAGCCAACCGCCTCCAGCTGCCCAGGCCTCCTCAATGAGAAGAAGGGAAGCAAATGCCTTTCTTTTCACTCTGTAGGTCTTGTTCACGAGTCCCTAAAACACCACTACGAGAGATGCTGTGTATCTCATATATGTACATGTCAATTGTGTATTAAAATTCTTCTTTTACCTAAAAATTGCTTTTTTCCTCTCTCTTCCCTGGGGGAAATACTGAGCTCCTAAAAATACGTGGGACTAAAAAGCAAAAGGTCAATCCTTGGGTCCTAGATCTGACACTCAAAGTGCAGTGACCCATCTTAACATATCACGTTTTGAGGATCTCACATTCTCATCAGTAAAACGACAGAGTTCAGACATTACTCAAGAGGTCCCTTTTATTTCTAGGACATGCTGAGTTTTCAAATTTTATTCACATATTTCAGCAATGCCTTTTTAGGAACTAGAAGGAAAATGCTTCCTATTTCTCTTACATGGATTAAAGCTGTGGAAACAAATAGTGTGCTTTAAGATAAGAAGGTAACAACCCATAGGGTCACAGAAACTGTTACCAATAAAAAATGAAACAGAACAGAATAACTTCAAGAAAGCAGAGTGGGCATGGTGGGTGGGGCACTCGGGAACAACAAGTGTTATTTTTATCAACTCGTAGCAAACCTGCCTTAACAATTACCCCCTCAGTGCTCAAGCACTGCGGCAAAAAGGGATGAGACAAACTGCTATCATTTCCCATCTGGGATTAGGTGACATTGTAATGCTGGGGTAGCACATTTAGTAGTATGAATAAAAATACTCAGGCAAGGCAGTGGAATTGGAGAACAGGGCACTGCATGGCAGAGGGGAGGAGGTGGGGAAGAGATGCTGAGAAAGCAAGAAGCAGCAGTCGGAGACTCAGGTTGCACTTCTGCAAGCAAGAAGTGTCCCAGGGACACTCAGGACCAAACTAGGCCAGAGATTTTGGGGAACACCGAGGAACAGTGGCACCATGTCCTCCAGAGCCACTGAAACACTCTGACATGGACAGAAAATGGCCACAACCGAAAAGCGTGACTAGGAAGGCAGCATTCTATCTTCTTTTAAAGGACCCCAAATTGAGTGGGAAACTTCTAGAACATATTATGTTCACATTGAAAGTATTACTCTCAAAAGAAGTCATGTTTCCTGAGCTCATCTTCCCACAGCAGCTGACCCAAAGCCTTCCAGGCGAGTGGGTCTCCCTGCTCCCTACAGACAGCGATGGGCAGTCGGGGGTTAGGAGCACCACAGAGCCCCGTGACAACCCAGCTCTTCTCCCTGCTGGGAAGGCCTCCAACCCAGCCCAGCTTCTCGCCTTCCTCCTCGAAACCCTGTCAGGGTGGTAATCCGAAACCAACGCCTAACGAATATCCTGCAAGCTAATCACAATCCCCATGTCTGCTTTCCTGAAAATCCAAATGGAGGGTATGACTTAAGTTTATCTGAGCCTCAATTTCCTCAGCTATACAACAGGAATAACGATACCAGCTTCCCAGACTATGGTCCGCATTAAAGGAGACAGTGCATGTAGAAACACCCAGGGTAATGACAAATGACAGGGTGGTTTTCCGCAGTGCCCTTCTATTCCCACTTCCTCATAGGTAAACCTGAGCACCTCAGCTGTGGGTATCTATCTTCTCACCTTACTACAGCCCATCAAATGGCCACATGAACTTGGTTTATAGACTCTTCAGCCACAAAGCCTTCCTCCTCACATTAAAAACTGCGCTGAGTAAAACACAAAGCTCTAGAAAGACCACTGCTTCAACACAATTAAGCACTCATTTAAATAACAGGTCACAAGATTTAACAATTACAACGTACCTTTGAAGTACAATATTTATCAGTGCATTGCTATAATACAGCATGGGAAATCCAGTACTGTCGTGGTGTGGAATATTGCTTAAAATCAATTACATAACCAATGAACAATTACTCCTATTACACAAGGGTCATCAAGAGTGAAAGAATTAGAAAACTGTGTTATATCTAAAACTGTTTTGAATGTGCTAACCTCCTGCTAATGGGCACATCAGAACGTGCCTGGTTTTCCTTTGTACACAAGGTCCTCATATCTACCCACTGCAGGTGCTCCAAAAATATCAGCTGAGTAAGTAAATATGATTGAATTAAAAAGGTACCCCTTCAGAATACTAATTCTGATGCATTTCTTAATATCTGTGCAAATATGCCATCAGGTTTTTTAACTGTTTGTGGCTGCTACATTTAGAGACCTGTAATACAGGATTTCGACATTTTTTTAAAAGTCTCTACAATTTCAGACATTTTTCAGCACTTGAGTGGAGCTATTTTTCCTAAGGATGTCTTTTGCTTTAGTCTTATGGTACTAGGTGGAACCAAGCACTTCATACCTCTCAAAAACAATCCAAAACAGGGGCGGGGGGATTTCTCAATACTTTTCTAGTAAAACTCTTAACATTTCACACAAATTACAGAGGGAAGGTGAACGCTAACTGACACATTAGCTGGGGAAGGGAGAAATGTGAGCACACACTGAGCCAATGTGACATCCCACACACCCGCAACTACTTGAAAATATAGCATTATACCTTCTGGAGACTCGGAATTTGGCTCTCCCACCCTTGTACATGAAATGTCTAGTGTTTCTGGTGATGGCAAATAGAATTCTCAAAAATAACAAATTACTTTCAAACTTCAAGTGAAAAAGTCAGAGGCAAGCCATACTTAACTCAGTAATTCAGACACTAAAACACTTACTTAAACAGCGATTTGGTTGCATATACAAAATGTACCAACTATTACTCTTAGTTGAAATATTTATAATAAACATTGATTAAAATGCGTAAGAATATGCCTAAAATGAGCTGAGTGGACATTAATATAAGGCGGTGGTACCTGGGAGCATATTTTTGAATAATATTTTATTAATTAATACATGAACTGAATGCATTCGTGTACTTCAGAATGCTATTTTCATACATGCACAGAATGTAACTTTTGTAAAAGATCAGTGACTACTGCCAAGGACACGAGCCAAAGGAAGAATTATTTTTATATTGACAATGCAATAAGATCAACAGTGCATAAAGTAGTTTAAAACACATTGACATACTCTTCTGTCTTAAAAGAAGCATTCTCTTTCACCTTTTCGGTCTTTAGATTATATGTCTGTCTCCTTTCCCTTAAGCATACTCATAATAAGAAATTGAACTTTAAAAGCTCTGGAGAAAATGAATTAATCACTTACTTTAAGGGCTCAGGAGATAGCTTTGTGCCAGAAAGGTTGATTTGCATCAGTGCTAGAGAGCTACTAAAAAACTGCTTGAAAGACAGGGGCACTTCTTTTCCTTTCCTGAAAAGACATAGGAGGCATACAAGTGTTTATTTCCAGCAAACTTGTTTATTGGTTATTCAGACACCGTGAAATAGCCCATAAATCAGACCCACTCTCAGTAAAAACGTAAAGGTAAAAGAACCATGTACGTTCATGTCTGAGCCCTACATGAGGAAACCAGCCCTATTAAGTACATGGATTAAGAGAGCTTAAGACACATCACTAACTTCACAGAATCATTTATTCCTATTCTTTGTAGCTAGTGAACACCACTGAATTTCAATCCTTGGGAAACTCCATGTTTGGAGCATTAAAAAACTGGAGGTGAGACATGTGTATTTTCCGTCAATTTAAAAGAGTTCTCCCACTGCCATCTCAACAATAATTTTAGATGGAGCAAGCCGGAGATGCAAGAAGATGGGAACCTGATGTCGATCTAAGGACCAGCGCAGCACTCTGGAATGGCAGGAGGTCTCCAGGACAAACTGCCTAATTAGTTTTATATCCACACTGCAAATCTAATCATTCCAGGCCAGACACTAGAATAAAGAAAAAAGTGAAACGGCCACACCCTCTATCTCATCCCCTTGCTATTACAGTGAGAAGTAACTGGATCCAACCACACAACTCAAGGACAAGTCAAGAGTCAGCACCATATGGGAAACAAAGAAAGAGGATTCAAGAGTCCACTTCAACCAGAATTCAAGAACACTCCGCTTGCTTTGTTCTGCCTCACAGATTACAAGGAAGGACTGAATAAGCCAGTATATGTAAAGCACTTAGCCTAATGAATAGTAAGCAAACAACAGTGCTGAACCCTATGCTGCAGAAGGACTCAGAATCTCAGGGTAGGGGTATCCTAGTGATCTAGCTCATACACATTATTAACACTGAATGATATTTTGTACAGAAGTCTGGGGGAAACGTCAATATTTGACAGGTTAAAAATAAAATTTCAAAAACAGGTAATTTCAGGCTGCTTGAAAAGAAAAATCTACGCAACTAGAATCTTTTTCTTTTGAGAAAAAAAAAATCCAAGTGAGATAAAAGAAAATCCTGGTAGAATATGGATTAAACATTTTAAATAACTCTCCTTCTAGAGAGTGCAATGATCTTAGCTTACGTACTTCTGGCCATTTGTTGATACTCAGATGTTGTTAAATGGTTCTTTGGGTATAACTTTGTTCCTACTGCTTTGTGTTAGTGTTGACTGTTTCATGGTTTCCAAATATCCACTGCCCCTTTCTGAGGCACAGAGGCACTGTTACCACAAGCACAGCAGGATTTGCACCATGGTGCCCCTACGGCCAATGGGATGTGAAAGGACCCATGTTTCACTTCCCAAGAAAAGCTTCATTAGAGAGCGCGTGCACTGCCTCAGTCCCTTTCCCTCTGCCACATGGCTGTCAATATTCTCGACAGAGAATGCTCCCTCCAGGGTGAAGGTGAGGTGGCTAGCCCTGAATGGACATGTTGCAAAACTACCACCGCTGACCACCATGAAGATGGGCAGGTGGCTATCAGCATCAGTGGTATGGTCTTGATCACTACAGAACAACCTTATTTACCCTGACAGACAACTTACAAAATTATCAGTGAACAAAAGTCAGAATAGCCTGGCTCGCAATCCCTACCTCAGTGTAAATGCAGTAATTTTAACATAATTACTAGGGGCTTTCCATGACTATATCTAGGTAAGGTGCGGGGTATTAAATAGTTTAATCATAACCTTTCATTTGGAAGACAAGGCAATTTGTTAGCACAATTCCGTTCTACAAGCTTAATAGCTCTACTGAAGACCAGTCATCACAGAATTCACAGTACTGTGAATTCAAAAGAGCTGATTACACAAAGACATTTATATGCTGTGCTGTCGTCTTGTAACTCAGGTCCCCTGTCAATTACAGCTCCACCAAAGCATGGCCTTCATAAGCTGCCTTTGAGCACACGAATGCACCAGACAGCCTCACTGACTACTCTTAACAAGCCCACCCACCCTCAAAGTGAAGTATCTTGGAAGTCTCTCGGCTTCTCCCACCATAATACTCCTAAACTCTATACTTTCTGACTTTGCTCCATTGAGGAATTTGTGGCATATTTTCACTACAGTAAAGATTCGCATCATTGGTGAAGTAATGGACCAAAAGTACTTTAAAATATATAGGTAAATTTTCAATGTATATTTGTGGAATAAAGCATGCCACACAGCTGAATTTTCCAAGTAAGTGGGGATTATATCCTTCAATATATGATGCTTCCAAAATGTACTACTAAATACAGAGGTATGTCTAGTTCTAAGTGATACTCTCATGCTGTCAAAGAATATATAAGGACGACAATATGATGACTTGCGGTCACAATTGTGAATGCTAAGTGTTGGGCTGCACTGATATATTAGGTGGCAGAACTCCACACTTACATAGCCCATGTGCTTTCCACAATTCTGCCACATTCTCTCTCCATTCTGACTTGCTGGTCTTTGTGAATCTTACAGCTCCTAACCTTGTTTTACAAAGAGTTCTAAAGTCAGCATAGTGAAAGTGAGACCCTGATACTGATCTCTGCTTCCTCCACAAAGTTGAAGTGTTGTGTCTTTGGGATGACTATTCACTTTGCTCCCACAGTATTTATACTGACTTCTAAGCTCATCACTGAAAAGTATCTTCAGAAGATCCTAAAAGGGTTTTTACTATACAAAGAGAGGGTGCGTGTTCACACAGGAAAAACAGTGCATCACTGTGTAATTCACATAGTCAAACTGGAGTTACTAAGAATATTAAGCTGTCGTTTAAAAAGCTGTAACAAAAACTTGAACCACTGAGGCCTAATAATTCAAAGAGGATGGCTTAAGGTCATCTTTGTGTACAACCTTCACCTTCCATCACTTCTATTTTCATTATCACTATAGCCCAAAATGACAATGACAGCAGGAATAAACCCATACCGGTGGGAGAAGACAGTTCTGGAGAGATTGAGCACAGCTAAGTACTGGAGGCACCCTCGCAGCAGAGCACCGCAGACCTGGGGAAGAAAGAAGCTGGTCTTAAGTATCTTTAGGATTAGGAAAATATGTTATTAGAGAAAGAAGCCCTGTACCCCATCTAAAGAGCTGTTCTGAGACCCCCCAAAGTGATATAAATAAACATTACCATGTCCAGAGAACATTCTGTATTGGATAAATCCAGATAAGCAATGGCATTTGGCTGGGCCAAAAAATTATACATGTGCTTGGAAAAAAACAAAAACAAAAACAAAATAAATATTAGGATCCAGAAACACACACAAACAATGCAAGCTACTGTTTTTGAAAGGAAGTTGCCCCTATTCCCCAAGACCATTCTCTGCTGTTCCCAAGAGAATTTGAAGAATTTTCTGTCTTTCCAATACACTTCCCTAAGAGCAAAAATCCAGAGAATTTAAAATAAAATTATGTTCAAATTTTTTTTAAAAAGGCCAAATGGAATCCTGACTGCCAGCACCTCCCCTCATTTTTACGCATGACTTAAGTTTTCCTGATTAGCTCAATTTTTATTATACAATTTTGGAACGATGCTAATTAATTATAACTCCTGAGATTAAAGTACCACCTGGGTTGCAGCCACCTTATCAAAATGCTAATCAGTTTTGAAAGTGTTTAAGGAAGCATTCATCTGAACTTGAACCACTGAATGGTCCCAGGCTATACTCTTTTCTGTCCAACATAATGATTTTTCTAATGATTTTTTTCTAACCTTAGTTACTTCCAAAAATCGATCACGGATGCCCTAGCAGCACTACCAGTCTCACATACAAATAAGATAACTTCAGGGGTCACAGTGATAATTCTTCTCCCACTTCTGCCCCATGCAAGGTGATCAAAACAATGAAATTAATGACTATGGTTCTCTAATTGTCCCATATGAGCTGCAGCCAGCACTTACCAAAAACAAACTGAGTCTGAGCTCCCCACCACCAGACACTTGCAAACATCAACAAGCCCGAGTGTCTCATTCCTTGGGAATCACTTACTAAGTGCAGCCGTGTAACTGCACGGGTGCACGGTGCTTCAGAACACCCCTCTCAATCAAAGAAGTCAGGAGAACAAAATATCAACACGGAAATGCTTTAGCATAAACCAGACACATCCAATAGATTGTATTACAAAAGATTCTGGTTCAGAGAAATAATTTTGCTTTCAATTACACAAAGTTATTTAGTCTCTCATTGCCTGGTGCTAGTGACCTTAAGGGACACTTAAATTGGGTGTGATTTTGCTCCCAGCCACCAGTAGGGGGAGCGCTGACACCCTGAAGTGGTCACAAGCCCCTACTAGGCCAACACTGTTCCAGCTACTTTTCCAGGAAGGCACAGAGAGAGAGACAGGAGCCTGTGCACCTGCCGTGGGACCCCAGAACCTCAGCGGTCTCTGGCTGGGATCCCACTCTTCCCCGGACCTCATCAATCCATTTCACTGTCCCCAGAGATCAGCCAGAGCAAGACTCACTGGCCTGGGAAAGAGGTGTTAAGCGGTTGTCCGATGCACCCATGATACCCTTCTTTTCAGCTGTGTCTTATTTACTCTCAGTCTCTTCTTGCCTCTCTGCCTCTATCCCTACACTCTGCCACCATCGTGGTTTTGTGGTTTTGTGTCAGACTCCCTGCTTCATGCGGGGGGCGTAGGGAGCAGGTTTATAAATCCTCAATGAAGGTGATGACCAAATTGGAAAATGTGTTGCAAAAGTCACGGTGAGCCAGGAAATAAGTATTATTTAAATGATCTCAAGTGCAAAGGAGAGGCAGAGGAAAAGAAAAAAGAAACAACCACAAAAGCCTTCATTTGTGTTCCTTGGCTTACACGTGTAAGCTTTTTTTAAAAAGTGAGAATAAATTTCGCTGTGATTTTGATACCCGCAGAGCACGGGAATACAAATTCATTTGGGCCCCTCAAAGATGCTCAGCTGCTCTGGGTCCTGGTGTTCGAGGGTCATCTCTCCTAAATGCCACCACGCTGACCAGGACAGAACAACTGCCACATACAGTAATGCGGGCATGCTTCATTCTCCGTGTCAATGAGATCTGCCAAGCATTTTTATTACTAACTCAGGTGTACAAAAAATCTTGTTATAATGAAGGAGAACTTTTAGCCTTATACTCAAACCCTAACAAGCAGCTACAGCATACTTTTATTTCATTCATGGAATAGATCAGGATTTGTCTTATCTCAATAACCTCTTTTAATTGCAAACTATACAAAAGCAACTACCGGTCTTGCCAACAACACTCTTTAACGATGACATAGTTCAGTTTATACTATCAACTTTTTTTAGCAGGCAATTGTAACTAGTGTGCTAAAATGTTTTAAAATGAAAAAAGCTCCTTCAGAAAAAGTATTTCCAAGAAGCATGTGAACTTCTGCATCATTACACGAGAAAAAAAACAACTGTGGTGACAGATTACATTTAATTAGGGAAGGCGCTGGAGTTTTCATGAAAACACTTCATAAGCTTGTAAGTGCACGCCTTTAAGTGCCAGGACAGAGAGGCAGGGCAATCAGTGGGAAAGTCACGTGCAGGAATTAGTCCAGGCTTATTCGGTGCAGCTTTTGGGAAGCTGTAAGCCAGGAAAAGCAACCTTACCGAGAGGTCATCTCCGCGAAGGACGTTCCCTGAGAGGTCCAGGTGGGTGAGGGTGGAGGCAGTCAGCGGATTGGCACTGAGGGACTGAGAAAGGCTGTTCACCCCTGCAACGTTGGGAAACCCAGCCTCAGTTTCCCTCCAGGAGACAACCTGAGGCTGTGAGTTTCTGCAAATGGCTCAGTAATCCCACACAACTGTGGGACTGAAGTCCCCATAAACACAGACACCAAGCAGGATCGCTGTGGTGGTGTCATTTTCGACACACCCTCAGAGAGGACAGGTGACACAACCATCTCGCAGACCCAGGGACAGCGATGGAAGCAGCTGTGCTCTGTTCCACAGAGTACACAAGCATTTGACTTTGAAGTCCCAGAATGATACAAGCAATCTCACTAACAATTTTCATCGTTCTCTGGATTCTGCCAGGTGACTCAAGTCTGCAAACATCACTGAAATGATACATGTACGTGTTCAGATACTTTCGTGGACTTAAGTACCAGGAAGTTGATGGAGGAATGTACTGTCTACTTAAATGTGTTACACTCGCAAAGAGTGAGACAATATCCGTACACAATGTAAGAAGCAATCAAAAGGAAAAACTTTTAATTAGTACGCTCTTTACATACACAGTATAAATGGCTCAAGGTAAAGTTAACTGGGCTATACTGATGAATCTACCTCCACAAGCCGTGCCTGAGGAGAGCAGATCATGTGTGGAGAGAGCAATATTCTCTTCTATGTGGATGACAGTCACTGTCACAGGCCTGTCTCAGCCTGGGGTGGCTGGACTTTTATCAGGTCATTGTGTCATGGTGCAGGAAAGGCCCCCTGAGGTATGGCATTGTGAAAGAGGAGCCCGGAGAGTCTGGCCACTCTCGGTGCTCAAACACTCTCAATATCCCTGACGATCATTCATAGGATAACGGGATAAGGAACCCAGCAGTGCTCTGTTTCCATCAAAAGTCTGTGGCTCCGAATTATCTAATCCTAACCAGGGTAAACTTTCACATTATTTTGTCTATTGCTTGTTTCTTCAGTAGAATTCTTTTTGGTAATCCTGGCTTGTGTCAACTACCCTAAAGAGAAAGAGGGGAGAGGGTTCTGTCCAGACATGGGCAGCCATGCTGGAGCTGTGGAGCCAGGCTTGGTTCAGGCAGAGCCAGATTTGGTCACAGCAGCAAGACTGGAAGAAAAGAGCTGGGGCTGGAGACAGAGTATCATGGAGCCCCTCCCACCATACAACAGGGCTACTGTCTCATCTTCCGGGGTCAGACAGAGGTGCTGGGTCTGGCTTGGGCCTGACAAAGGCCAGTGACCCATTTCTCAAGGGTGAGTGGATGCTGGGTACAGAGGAGACAGAGGCTTTGAATGGAAGATGTTGTAGTAAAGAAGTACTTCTTGGCTGTCAACCCAACATTTATCAAATGCCTACAAAGTACAGGGTATTGGGAAATATGCCTAAGGCCCATTACATTTTCTGCCCTGGCAAAGTATAAAGATCATCATGAAAAAAAATTAATTAAACTCCAGGATGAAACATCAGTGTTACATAAGGAATAGTTTTTTGTCTCAAAAAATCTTTGTTAAAAACTACTGTATTCTACACAGGGGCTTCCAAGATCCAGGGATACCACCACCCCCAAAGACCAGTTCAGTGACAGACACAGACAGACAACACCATGGTTTATATGTAGATGTTCCTCCAGAGCCTCATAGGTGGGACTTTTGAAAATCACAGGGGTGCTAGAGCTAAATGTGGTAAGAGGTAGGGCCTGGTCAGAGGAGCTAGGTCACAGGGGGTGTGACCTGGCAGGGCTTATCTGCCTTCTGGCTTGTTCCTTCTCTCCCTGCTTCCCAGCTCCCATGAGGTGAGTAGCTTTTCTTCTGCCAGGCCCCCCTGCCATGCCATGCTGGCCTGGAGCTGACCCACCACAGACCGTAACTGTGAGTCAAAACAATCTTTTCTGCCTTTAAGTTGTGAGTGTCTGGTATTGAGCCTTAGCAACTAGGAAAGTGACTAAGACAGATGACTACAGATGGCCCTGCTATCCCTGGGTTCTGCATCTGTGGATGCAACCAACCAAGATTAAAAATACTTTTTCAAAAAGAATCTCATGTGCATTGAACATGTATGGACTTTATTCTTGGTCATTATTCCCTAAATTAATTAATACAACAACTATGTAGATTGATATTGCATTAAGTAATTTAGAAATGATTGAAAATACATTGGAAAGTACACCTAGGCTCTGCCCAAATACTGTGTCATTTTCTATGTGGGCTTGGGCAGCATCTGTGGAGCTGGGTACCCAGGGTGAGGGAGAGAAGCTCTGGAACCAACCTCTGCAGATACTGAGGGACAACTGTGCTCACTAACCAACCAGGAAATTACTGTCAAGGAAGCAAGAAATAAGAGCTTGCAATGAAGCGGGTGGAGTTTCAGTGAACTGCAGGTGACGAAAGGAATCTTATAGGAAAGGATAACTTCTGGAGATTATCTCCTGCGATTGTTTCACCGTCCAACTTCCTTTAGTTTGTCCTGTTGTGAGTATTCATCTGTTTTTATAAATGGAACAATTGAGTCTGAAGCATATGGAGAATGCCAGACTCTCATTAAGGAAATCATTTGTAAAATCATGCCCTTAGTGAGGTATCACAAAAGCCAATACATAAGTTCCAAAATTAGAAGGCCAAATCCGTTTCGACAGCAAAATGCTCCCTGACACGTGTGGGCACTTGGCAGGTGGCCAGCATCAGAGCAGACTGGAGAAAGACGCATGTTCTTAGCTCAGCCTCACGCTACTGAAAGGGAAGGAAGGTTCCTCGCCACCTCCTGCGCCTGCGTGCGCAGGAGGCCTGTGCTAAGCGGCCCACTCAGAGCAGGAAATCGTGACGGTGTAGGACTGGAAAAAATCAGGACTCTTACAACCCAAGCTTGACGCGAATTTGCGTGCCATTCTCAATTCTGGCTGTCTAGTGATTTTCACCATCCCTCATGTTTATTATTGGAGTGTTTACAGCTGCAGAATGGGGGTACCAGATGGCCCTGCCACGAAAGAATCTGCCAACCAGCGGGATAGTTGCTAGAAATCCAGAAACTCAGATAGCTAACTGAGATAGAAAAAGGGCACGTAGAGCAGTGGGGATGTCATGGGGAGTTTTTTAAAATCTGTTTTAAATTATGAAGCCATGAATATGTGTTCTTCAGGAACTAATATATGTTAGTCAAATTCAGCAGAAACTTAAAACTGCAATTTAATCTGAGCTATTCTAAAACGGCAAGCTTTTTAGAATCTATATGTAAGCCTTTAAGAAATTAATTTTAAAAAAATAATAATCCCAGCATGCGGGAGGCTGAGGCATGAGAATCGTCACAAATTCGAGGCCAGCCTGGGCTACATAAATTCAAGCCAGGCTGAACTACATAGTGAGAACCTGTCTCAAAAAGAAGCAGACATAAAGCATTTCAAGATATCTGTCTTAAAAGGTACAACTTACAATTCTTTGGGTCACATACAAACACATTTTGATATATACCTATGCCACCTCAGGACAGAGACAAACAGGAAGTAGGACCCTTGCTTGTGAAGGCACAGCTTTTGTGTGACTATGATCATGAAGATGTACAGCAACCTGCTTTGTCACCTTGGGAGGGACAGGACACCCCACCTTGGGAGGGCCAGGGCACCAATAAGAGGTGGCACGAGGCACCTGGGAACTAAAACTTATCATAGGAAGGACCAATGATCACTACATCCTTCTGTTTGTTTTACAGTAATGAACAAATAAAATAAAATAATGAAATAAAATTTTTGATAGAACTTCTATCTTACAAAAGTTATGCTCACACTATGAAACACATGATAAAAGATGAATTTTTTTAATATGCAGAGAACTGATATAGATTAAGAAAAAAGATAATGAAAACAAACCTAACAACGAATGTATGTACTGGTAATTTCCCCAAACAAATGCAAATGATTAAAGAGTGGAGAAAAATGATGTAAGCAATGACCAGACTCATTGAAATTAAAATGTCAGAAGACTTGGATACGCTTGGGAAAAAATTAAAAGAAGAAATAACAGGAATGAAAAGAAAGAGATGGTAATAGTATGAAGAAGTGTGTGGTGGTCACATGGAAATAAGCATGAAAACAAGTCTTTAAAATGCACCAACTCTTTTACCTAGTAACTCTACTTAAATAAGCTTACCCTAAAAAAGATATGAAAGAAATGACAAAACTTGGTGGCCAAATTCATGTTAGTGTTCTGGCACTGCTAAGAGCTAACAATTATGTAATTATGTACTGACAGGTTATTTAAATTAACTATAAAATATAATTCCCTACCTTGCAGTACCATGTGACCACTGAGAGTGGTAATGTGTTTGCCGATATAGATGATCATGATTCACTTTGCAGAGAAAAAAGATTATGAAATAATAAGCACAATATAGTTCCATATGTGCACGTGTGTACATGCATATACACACACACTGTGAACAGGAAATAGCACACAAAGGTTGTCACTAGTTGCCACCAGACACTCTCGTGATGCTGGCATTAAGAGTAATTTTTGCTTCCTTATTTACACATCTCAGTAGCTTCTAAATCTTTCCCAGGAGTATTCTATGCCCTGATAATGTTCAGCACAAAACTAGATAAAGCTGACTTTCTGAGGTGTAACAGGGAGTGTGCAGAGGGCCTAAATTTAGCTTTAGGGTCTGGAGATAGGTCCCAGCTCCGAAAACACTACCTCTTTAGAAAATCTTTCCCCGTGGTAGTTTACTTTCATGCCTTAATCTTAACCATGTGTGCATGAATATGTGCACAGAAAATCATGAGCCTTGTGGAACTAATTCCAATTTTAAATCACTCTAATGTAACTGCACATTGAGAGGCATGTGAAACTGGATGGATATAAAACCCAAGGGCTTGCTCCGCTTCATTCATTTCCCGAGGCACATTCAGTGACAGCTAGGGACATGTCAGGGGCCTGGACACAGAAATGCGTGAGGCAAAGCAGCGACCACCCAGACACCGCAGGCTAGGATGCCATCAAAGCACAGGGGGAAGATACTGGAGTAGAGAGACTGAGGTTGGAGCGCAGAGACAGGAAGGAGCATCAGAGTGAGCTGTCTGAAATGCAGGAGGCCGCTGTCTGGAAAGGCTTCAAAGAGAGTGAGACAGGATGGGAACTTACAGGTGAGCAGTAATTCACAAGGTCTGCACGCAGGGACATTGAGTTTGTGTCAGGATAAAATGAATGTACAGTATTTGACAATATGAGGAAGAAGATGAGGATGATGAAGGTGATGGGGGTGATGGCAGCTGCTGGTATTTATTAAGCCCTCGGTGCCAGAAATCACACTGTGTGTATGTTAACACATTTAAGGCTACTATCCATGCTAATGTAGATACTCTTATTTCCATTTTACACATGTGGCAGCGGGGAAACCAAAGGGATGATGTGAGCACATTCATAGTAATAGCAAGGTCAGGGCTCAATCACAGGCAATGTGACATGACGGACAAGGCCACATACAGTGCCACAAAGGATGGGGATCTATTTAGGATGCAGCAAGTTGCTCCATTCAAGAAACCTTCTCTTGAATCCCCATATTGGTCCAGGAGCTGTGCCAGGAGCTAGGGGTCTGGAGACAATAGAAGCAGAGGAAAGCCTCGCTCCCATAGGAAGGACATTCCCACAGTAATGTCCCATGTGTGATCTAGAAATAATATAAAGGGAACAGCAACTGATTCTGGTACAGCCTTAGGATAAGGAACACATCTAAGCACAGATCATCAAAGAGAAGCTTTGGTAAAATAAACAAGAAGCTGTCCAAGAATGTCTGGGATGAAAGAAAAACTTTTCAAGAATCCAAAGCAAAAGATGAAGATGTATGCTAAGACAGAATGAACGCAGGATAACTTGTAATACTGTTATACAGGTATGAGTGGGCAAAATAATTACAGAATCAGCAAGATCTGGTGAGCAACTAGATAAACGAGAAGAGGGAGGAGTGAAATCAGGGCCTGGGGAGAAAATGAGGCAATTTCCAGACAGAGAAAATAGAAGCAAAGGAGGCTATTGTAGGGTCTCAGCAGTGAAGCCCAATCATTTCCTGTGTTTCCTGGGAAGCAGAGACTCCATCTGACAGTTGCATGTTGGGATCAACTTGTTTTTCCCAGAATAAATCAAGAAAATACTACCAGGTGCCTTTCAGAATGTGAGGTACAAGGCTAGAGGCAGCAAGGAGTTAGTTCACTGACTCAAAGCTTAAAAAATTCCAAAACTGTACATGAATTTCAAAATAATTCTCTATTCGAAAAACACTTTAAATCATCAAATTAGATTCCTATAATGGTTTTATCTTAAAACCGCCAAGTCATATTTTTACAATGCAGGTACATAACAGAATAATTTTAACTACAGCAATATTAGAGGTACGATGTTAAGTAAGATATACTATACCTTTAGGTGACAATGAGGTTTTAGATAAATTTAAATGCTTTAATCCCTTTGGGAGTTTGGCAAACTGAATACTTAAAGAGGATACACCTGAGAAAGGAAAAAAAAGATTATTAGAATTTTCAAAGTCTCAGAATTATGTTTTATCTGACGATGCATACAAATTAAATTTGATTCCAACTAAATTGACCACCTTTTTCTGCCTAAAGTCAGAGCGTATTTTATAATCATTTATCACTGCAACTCCTTTTCGTCCTGTCCCACCTATTAGGTAGGAGAAGAGGAAGATTATTTAATTAAGCAAAACAGTATCTGAACCTTTATCATTACAGATAGTTTTCTTTGGGCCAAGTGCCATTCTCTCCTCACAGTCCTATTTAAAATGCAAATCCTCTTGGAAAGAGGCATATAATCATTCCCCCCTTTTCTTTTTAACCTCTGTCTAATGAGTTGCTCTCTCTCCTGGATGAGCAGATGCATGCTCTTTAATTATTGTCAGGAAGAATGGAATAAGATTAACTGTTCAGATAACAGCTTCACTTTTAACAGATGGATTCCCATACTTAATTGGCTTAGGGTTAATCACCTCAGAGCAGCAGAGCATGTTTACATTTCTTATAGGTGTGTTTTGTAACTTGTAACAAGGCACCAAGAATTTATATTACTGAAATGTAGGTATTCTTTAAATTTAGTGGCCAGAGTAGAAGCTGGAAGAACAGGTCCACTCTTTCATGGACTGTAATGAAAGTAGAGGGTTAGGAGCTGAGTAACAGATAAACATGTGTCCATCCCTTAGGGCCTTCCAAACACGTCCACTTATAGGTGGGCCCGCAGTGCCCAGGCACATGTTCTTGGGAACGCTCCTTGAAGAGGACTAAGCTCAGGTTCCGCTTGACTAACTCTTTCATCCTGGGCAGCAATGAGAAACAACTCTGCTTGTTGCTACCTTATTATGTAATCCCAGAGTATCTACAAGCCTTAAGAAAATGCATAAGAAGTAACTACTGTAGAAATAACATAAAGGTCTTACACCTTGACTAAGCCTTGAGATGAGCTGAGTGTTTCCCCTAGGAAGCTGGGTGTTTGAGGAATCCCTGCCTCTCTCTCCAGAGAGTTCCAGTGCCAAAGAAAAAATAAATCACTTGATTAAATGTTGAACAGAACACATCTCCAGATCTGAATATGCTAATCCTTAAGGTAAATCTATGCAATTCATGCTCTGGGAGTTAATGAGGAGGAGTGGGGAAAGGTGGAATAATTGTTGAAATGTGCTTAAGAAAAAGGTCAAAATAGGGGAAGGAGGGAGACAAAGAAAAGGGAAAAGTACAAAACAAGCAGAAAAACAGAGTTTTATCCAAACCAATGATTACATTAAATATAAATGCACTAAATACTCAGATTATAAATCAGTGATGATTTATCTGAATACAAATATCAAATTTTTTAAGAGACAGACCTAAAAACATAGATATTCAAAAGAAGTGAATATAAAATGATGGGAAAAGATACATGCTATGCCCATTAACCAAAAGGTATGTGGGGTAGCTATAAGAAGTTATATTTTGAAGGTTTTTTTAATAGAGATGACTAGAGACCTTTCATCAATGAGGAGGATACAATCATCCTAAAATCTGTATGCCCTAATTAACATAGTCCACAAACATAAAAGTAAATCTGATGTAACAAAAAGGAAATAAATGTGTTACTACACACACAACCCCCAATAGCTACCAAATACATTTCTTCACAGAATTCACTGAACATTTACCAGATATGACCATACACTAACTTGTAAGGTCTCAATACATAATAGAATATTGCTTAAGTACTGTGAAATCATACCAAAAAATTCTCTAACTGCCTTGTTGTATGTTCTAGAATTGCTATTGGTAGACTGGAATTAAGATATAAATTATAGCCACAGGGTAATTAGAAAATCCCAAAATAATTATAAATTAAATAAATTAAATAACTCATTTCTAAGTAGCAAATGAATCCAAGAAAAAAAAAAATCACAGTGGAAATCTGAAAACTATTTTGGGTGAGTTAAAAACTATAATACTACTATTTTTTATATAACTAAAGGCATACTTAAGAAGTGAATAGTTCTAAATATATGTATATATTAGTAAGCAAGAAGTTTGTAAGTAATTATCTAATCATCTTTACCTATTTTGAAAAATAGCAAATTAACTCAACCCTACCTACATAAACAAAAAGACAGATATAGAGAAAAAAGTTAAAAAAGAAAAAGAAAAAGGAAGTGCTCAAGTAGAAAGCAGTAACAAAAATAAGCAAACTCAACAAGGCCAGTTCTTCAAAGAGACTAATAAATAAACCCACAAACCAATAAAAAAAAAGTGTGGGTATGAGATCAGATTATCAAAATCAGCTATTAAAAAACAGTATCAGAGATCCAACAGACATGGCAGATACAAGTAAAGGTGGAAAAGAATCTGTAAGTTAAAAAAAATCACTTTAGAAGAAATGCATAGATTCTTTATGAAAAGCACAACAAACTAAAATTAGTAAGAAATAATTCCTACAGCCTTCAATCTAGTCACGAGTAGAAATCTGGTATTTTATTTATTTTTTTTCCAGTGTTGGGGATGGAACCCAGGGCCTCAATCATCCTGAGCAAGACCTCCACCATTGAGCAACACCCCCATTCCCAAGGAAACAAATCTATAAGAACCTTTCCTCAAAAAGACAAATACAGACGAGTACACACTATATAATTTAATATCTATGAAGATCAGGAGAGGGCAAGGTCCAGTTTCATTATGGAAGTCAGAACAGCAGTACCCTGTCCAGGTGCTAGAGGGCTGGGGTTGGGATTGCTGGGGAGAACCTCATGGGAAACCTGTGGAGGCCTGCTAGTGCTGTACTGCTTCTTCTTCCTGCATGTGTGCATGCGCCTCTGTGTGTGCAGTATTAGTAGGGAACAAATCCAGAGTCTTCATACCGAGCTACACCCCCAGCACTCTTTTTTGACAGAAGGTCTCACTAAGTCATTCCTGGGCTGGGCTGGAACTTGCAGTCCTCTTGCCTCAGTCTCCTGGAGTGCTGGGATTACAGGTATGCACTCCCGTACCTGGTTTATATTCTACTTCTTGAAGTTGGTAGTGCTTGCACAGCAGTGTTCACTTTGTAAAAGGGCATTAAGAAATAAACTGGGCATCAAGTTTGCGTCTAGAATGTCTCCAAAGTCCCAGGTGTAAGGTTTAGTCTCTAGGTGGACTCTTTGGAGGAGGTGGGTGGGGGAGGCGCTTGTGGGAGGTCCTTAGGTCTTGGGCATGTGCTCTCCAAGGGAGGCGGTCTCTTCCTCCTCTGGAGAGCCTGGTCTCTTCCTCTTCCTTGTTGCTCCCTGCTATGTGACATAAGTGGCTTTACTCCTCCTAGGATGGCTGTCTCAGCACAGACCCACAGCAAAGGGCTGAACATTCACAGCTAGAACTTCCCCAACTGTGAGCCAACACAGCCTGTCCTCTTCCTAAGTGAATGATCACAGGGGTTGCATTATAGTGACAAAAGTGACTTAACACATTTGGGATCGAAGGGCTTCTCTGAAAGTACACTCTACTTCACTGAGAAAAAGTATTCAAAAAATTCAGACTGAAAGAGTAAAAAAAATACCAGAATCCCACTTTTAAATTTTGATAGGAATTATCATTGCCTACAATGACAAATCCTTCTCTGTTTTCTTTTACCTACCAAAGTATATGTTATAACAACATTAACAAAAACAACATTCTTAAAGTCATGTTCCATATCTTCAAATCATTCTAGAAATACCATCTACCAGATGAAAAAATTTTTCTGCTAACACCTACCATTAAACTTTAGATTTATTGTGCTCTGGATGATTCTGCTTTGTTCTTTGAAAAGACAATTTAAAACCGTGGTAATTTTTTGTGGCAGACACGCCTACAACATCACAAGACTCTGTAAATGTCTATATTTAAATGAAAGACCAGAATGGAACACTGTTTACACTGCTGGAGGTGCCCACCTACCTGCTCACTCCTTAATGAGAGAAGCAGATAGAAAGGAATGAATAATCCAATAATATTTTCTTCAGAAATATATCACACCAAAAGTAGCACAAATAATAAATCTGAATAAAGGTGAGTCCAATCATGTTGAATAGTTTTTTTCTTTCTTTTTAAGAATGTATGAAGGTAAATAGGATTAAAGGTACAGAAATAAAAGTGCAGATAAAGATAATCTGGTTAATGTATTTTAATCAAATTCTAAATAAGCTTTTAGCAACACACAAAGGCCACTTAAGAGCACATCTAATTAAAACCATGGTCTTATATCCTAGAGGAGGAAGTTTTAATCAGTGATTTCTCTTGATGCTTTGAAAAGAATATCTTATAGGCTTCCGCAATAGTAAGATTAAGGGTTGACAGTTCTTTACTTATAAAAAAAAATCCAAGAGAGACTGTTTCTTTCTTGATAAAATGTTTAATCTTGGCATCCACAATTCATAAACATATTGCATTTCTTCGTTAAAGAAATATGCTTGCTACCTGCTAATGGAATGAGAGGCATAGCTAGGGGTCAGTATTGCTCACCTAAAGTAATATGAGAGCCAAGAGGATCACAAGCTCAAGGCCTAGGCCTGAGAAACTTACTGAGACCCTGACCCAAAAAGTCCACTGCCAGCACAACCGCTGCCACCACCACCACTGGGGCTGACTACTACTATTGCTACTACTACTACTAATAATAATAATGATAATAATAATAATAATAACAACAACAACAACAACATCAGAGGGCTTAGGCGTGTAGCTCAGTAGTAAGGCATAAGGTTTGAATATGCAAGGGCTGGATTCAATACCCAGCACCAAAAGGAAGAATAATAATGAGAGAACTAAATTAATCAGTGAAGTATACTCTTGATCCTTAAAATACAGAGTAAAAGCAATTACCATACTCATGGCAGAGTAGAACCCTGAGAATTAATCACGGCATGTCAAACTGAATGGAGTGAAACTACCTAGCAGATTAGCGGAGCACTGTTCTAAGTGCACCTATGAGTGACTGACATGCAAGCCAGCAAACTGATGGGGAAGATCCAC